ACCAAAATCCTCAAATCTTCAAACGAATCGAAAACAAATCCTGAATGTATCTTCTCTCTTCACCAGAAGTTGCGTCTCCTTCCACTTTCTCCCTGACTCTTAGTGCCTGCTCATGGTTGAAAGAGGCGCTCCAACTTGGAAATCAACCCTCCGAACCCTTGCTGAAACTCCACAAACGCAAAAACAAAAACAAAAAAGTGAAACTTACCGCGATACCCCGAAACAAGGCCTTCTTGTTCTGCTTGAGATCTGGCAAAAACCCTAAACTACAACCCTGCAACTGCAACGTTTGATTTGAACTTTGTGTGCTCATCCATTCCTAAAACCCAAAAGCCCAAACTAAGAAAACAGAATCAACACTGTGCAACACTTCCGTTATTGAAATGCCGCTTCAAATGGAGAGTAAACCTGGCAGAAACCTTTCCCCTGAAAAAAGGAAAGTCTAGGTCACAAACGCTGTGTCATTGTTCACTTTCGCCTTCGCCGGCATCTTTGCCTTCGTCCACTTCCTGCTCTTTCATTTCGGAATATGTGCTGCAAGACCCTGGCAATTTTTACTTTCGGCTCAGAAGCACCAGGATTTCTGCGCCCAGCTGTTGCAGCTGACGCGTTGCAAGCAAAAGGTAACTTAACCATGACGAACTGGGTCAGGACCAAAACTGGCAAAGACATTCAATGCAAGTGCGAAACAGAGGGAGCCCTTTTCAGCAACCTCTTTCGACGATTTCTGTTGGTGCTTCGGCTTCTTTTGCTACAACAAGGTTCTTTGGGTGACATTCATCCGTTAGCAGTGTGGAGAACATGCATGACACATGTGAGCGACTGTCTGGCGAATATTCCGTACCATTTGGGATGGTGTCAATGCTGTGGGTTTTGGATATCAAATACCTCAGCTCCGCCTGACCCATCCTGTGCATCTGTGAATGTGTTTATCAACCAATTTGCTCGTGGCTTTCCAACTCGCTTAGTGTGCTCCTGTTCGAACACAACTTGTTTCATCGGTCCTGGCCCTGATCTGATATGTGTCCTAGTACTTTGATTTCTTGCATCTGCCAAATGGTCGCAAAGTCCATGACATGCATACAGTGCTGGTTTCTGTATTTCACTGACTCATTAGCCATGTTCTATCTACGCTGGTCGGCGGCACTCAAAGAATTCTGCGATACCCTTTCATTTGGAAAGAGCTCAATCTGTTGAGCTCGGTTTAGTTCGGCTGGCTTGCTAACCTATATAAAGTAATAACAGCATTACCTGCACTTCCCACCTCATGGTGGCTCGTGCCTTGCAAAAAACCTTCGGTCGGTTGCAAGCGCGTATTGACTCTGCATGTCTGTTCATTATCTTTTGTGTGTTGTCAAAGTATCTGTGACCAAGGTTCCTAGATAGCCTGCAACATGTTCTATGGGAACCAAGGAACCATCAAGAAACCTCATTTGGGGTTCGCTCTGTACTTTTTCGTGAATAAGTATTACATTGACATGATGCATATGCCACTAATAGAATATCTTTGCTTGGAAATTATTCAATCTATACTTAATGAACATAGCGGACATGAACAGAGCAAAATGATAGGACGAAAGTGGGCAGCCCTGTCATATGCCTAGGTAAATATTCGGGTTGCCTGCCTTCGGCAGTCGAACCTGCGGATTCTGGCTCACTTTATCGTGCAATACTCCAATCCAACAACGTGATAGTGAGGTTGGTTCCTGTGCGCTTTGAGATGTCCGTAAGTCCACGCGCCACAAAAATCGCTTGGGCTTCTACTTGTTTGGTCTGAATCCATACTGGCTCTCCTGCACCCAAGCGTCGTAGGTTTCAACCATCCTATGTCTGATCAGGCCTGCAAGAATCTTGAAAAATGTTTGGAATAGCGCAACGCATCTAAAGTTTTGCATGTTTGTAGCGTCTCTTTTCTGGGTACGAATCCTCCGCAAGACTGTCAATGAGTATCTCAAGAATGATGTTCCTCGGTCGTGCACTTGACTAGTTCCGCTGCACACTTGTAAGGGGGTGGCGTTTTGTTGATTGTTTTGTCTTTCTTTTCTGCGCATTGACAACCTTGTTTAATTCCCCTGAAGTAAAGTTTGTGTCTGCCATGGTGCTGTCAGCGTTGCATTACACTTTCGACACTTTCCCTTCATACGCAATGTTAAGGTTGTTTTGTGTTGGCTGCGCCCATTGCACTTTGGCCAGATAGTTCGCACATTGTGTTTCTTTGATGAGCTCACCTCTACTTTTCTTGACGTTTTGTCGGTTAGTTTAGGGTTTTTGGGCTTAGACTGAGTTGCTTCTTCTGAACTCTAAACGTCAGTTTACAGTTGCAGCTTGCTTGCGCAAGCGCAACTGAGCAATAGATGCAGGTTTGTTGAGGCTTGCCTAAATCATAAACTTGTGCCATGGTTTTGCAAGCCAACCACAAAGCTCGCCACACCGTGTCCGGACCACTACTAGCTTTGCCAAGTCAGTTGATGTGAGCAACTACGGACAACTAGATTACATCCTTGTTAATGACAAACGGAAACAAGGGATTACCTCATATACATAATGTTCATCCTAAATTCAGATCACGTCATGAAGGTGCATCTGGCAAAAGCGCGGAACGCTGCCCCGCAAAAGATACAGAACCACAACAGAGTTTAGCAAGCGTCGTATTCACTAGTTGAATGCGCCGGAGAAGCCGCGAGACAAACTATGACCAACATCCTGTGATCGCGGAGAGACACCAAGCCATAGAAGAAGCGACAACACTCGCGCAACAAATAAAGCGATGCGCGAGAAAGGACAAGATGGTCTAGAAAGTCATACACCCAACTTCTGCCGCAAAAAAATGAGTGATGCTGTAGGCAAGTTCGGAGTAGGTCCTGCGAGTATCGGCAGTGCCTTAGAGCCAGGACCCGGAAATCACACTCAACTTGTACGTGACAAAAGATGACAGCACTGAACCAAGAACGTGGCATACACGGAAGAAGTTGGGGCATCAAGCCGTCACGAACGCCAGTTTCCTGTCAACTTTCAAAAAATGCTGGAGGTACGGATGGACAAGCCAGTCCATCCCCCGCCCCCCCATGCCTGAAGTTCGTCTGCCTTGCCCGAATCTTCCTGCAAAACATTGTCAAGAAAAACGAGTTCGTGTTTGTGAGGGCAAACACACACTGCCTCCACACACCATAGTTGCTTTAGCCGGGAGATAAAAGTCAAATCATCCTCGATATCCTGACAACAACAGAGAAGATTCTGCAAAAGCAGCAAGTTCTAAAGCCACCTGCAGCAGCTGGACCATGCGCCCAGCCTAGCATCATTAAAGCTTGCAACCCTGCACAACACCTCTCACGAATGCCAAACAGCCGAGAATCGCCACGGGACTGTGCAGCAACAGCCTTCTTTCCATCAGCGGGAGCGAGGGGATTGTCATCTGCTGAAGCCTGCAAGGCCCCCAGGCAACGCATGCTCTGGCCAAACGAGCCTGCCTCACAAAACCAGACTCAAGGTTGCACAGTGAGTTTGATGCTCCCGAGTCCTGAAGACTCAGCATATCCTGCTCCACAAGCTGCAAAGCTGTGCCGGTCCGAGCCTCAGAGTTCTGGCAAAAGCGTGCGGTGAAAGCTGGGAATGAACAAAACGGGATGCTGGCGCGATCTCTGGCAAGGCGTAACTGAGCCTGGCATTCCATACCCATCGAAGAGGGGCTTGTCTTTGGACATGGGAAACTAAGCACGAGCCTCAGCCCGCCGCAGCATCCTTTTGTCAAAAAAGTGGATTCCCATGTCGTAGTTTGGTCCAACCGCCTGCGGTCAGCTCTCTATTCATGTCTGAAAGGCTTGCAGCAGGTGTGCCTCAGGAGATCGGTGGAGAGCATCTTCAAGCTTCTTTTGCCTCGACAACCACTGTCCAGCGTTCCCAGTGAGAGACAGCCACTCATAGGCCAGGGTCCGAGCTCCTGCTTAAATTCTGTGTAGACCTTGCAGGGTCAACATAAGCGCGATCTATGCGCCCGTCTCAGCACCTGCATCATCAGCAGCAAGTTGTGCTCTGCACATCCTCGTGGAAGGCTGTGCTTTTCAAGTTCCTGTTGCCACACACATTCAAGCACGAAAGAAAACTAGCGAGCCGCCTGTCCTTACGAGCCTTGTGGGCTTCATCGATGGCTTGTCTGGCCTTAGTCTCGGAATCGCGAGGTAACGAGGCTGGCATGTGCCGGCCTCTCCCATGTCCCAGTATCTGATGCTCAAATTGTAGTGTGCCAGGAACCTGACAGGTGCTCTTCTCGTTCTTTTCTACAGAACACACCTTGCCTTCGCATGGGAATCCTTTTCGGGCCATCCACCAAAGCCTGCATCATGCACACAGCGTGAGACCCTTGGCAATTTATTGTCGAGTGCCTGCAGACGTCTCAGCACAGCGCATGCCGAATGCAATCTGTCCTGCCCCCAAGCTCCAACCGGAACGCACCAAAACAAAAAGATTCAAGAATGCAAGCTCCCATGATTCACGCCTTTGTCTCAGCATCTCGAGGTCGGAGCCGATAAGCCTCATGCAACAATGAACTGCTCGATGTTGACAAGGTTAAACAGCGGCCACACAGGCGCGCGCACACACACAGGCCTCACGATACTCACGCACAGCCAACCGCTGCTGGGCTGCAGCACTGCGAACCTTGGCTGGCACATGCCACACATAAGTCGCGTTGGTTCAGATTCAACCTAGCCGAAACACTGACAAGCTGAAAAACAATTCCATGCGAGGCGTTCACCTTGTTGGCCGGAGTGCTTCGCAGTTCCTCGTCTCCTTACGCGATATGCGTAAGGGTCCAGGCAGCCCGAAACAGCAGTTTTCATGTCCTAGAAGCTCTCCCGAATCACGTCCATCTGCCTCCTGCTGAGGCAAAAATGAACAGCTTTGAGTCAGAACTTCGAAACTCGCCAAAGCAATTGGCCAGAACGCATCCAAGCGTTGATAACTGCCCATCTTTCCTGAACGCTTGCAATTCCCAGCAAGCCAGCCATGACACAGGTCCTTCTTTAGGAGCACGTGTACCTTGTGTTCATGTTTGATGGCTTCCTTCTTGTGCCTCCACAACAGGAGGGCAACAGCACGAAGGGCCACCAAGCCACCCATAACGTCGGTTGCTGCTATCCCTAGCACAAACATCATCCGATTGCAAGGCGTTGCACAACCAGCGAGCCTCTCAAAGCTTGCTTGCGTTGACATCGCTGTTTTAGAACAAAGTTGAACTGAATGTTAGCCTCATTTGTTGACAAGATGTAGCATTGTTGCTGCAATGTGAACGACATAATCCGCACGAACCTGTGCAGCGATTCTAAACATTCAAAAACAAACTGTCAGTTCAATAAATGTCCGAATCTGTGGTGATACGCTCACACACAACCTGAGCCCAGTGTTGGCGCTGCGGCATTGAACCGACATGTGCTGAATTTCCCCAAATACTGTGGAGTTTGGCATGATGCATGACATTGAAACCCATTGTGAGACGGATTCCACCGCATAGGTGTTTAGTGCTTGCATTATGTCAAGAGACGGCAAGGTGACGTCCCGTGGGACGCTGTCCACCGAACCCTCCAGCTTTGGTGTATACGGTCAAACCGTTAAAGCCGAACCCGTGTAAACTGTTGTAAGGGATAGGAACCAATAACCACGATGATGATCCTGGCAGCTGCAGCGCGAATGAAGTATTTTCCACTCTCTATGGTCGATCACGTGCAGACGTAGTTCATGCAAGACCTTGAGCCCTACTAGTGACTTGAGCCAAATTGGCAATCAATGGAGCAATGTAACCAACACCAACACGGACCTCAGAACAGCTTCCCAATATAGGCACGGGGCCTGGAGGGTTTTAACATCCCCCATTTGGGTCGCATTGTTCATCATGCGGCCCAAACATCACAACACGTTCCAATGGCCACGGCTCCGACTACGAAACTGTGTCGAACACTCTTTCATTCACTATTGCTACACCGTTCATTCATTGTGAAACTTGCCAGGTCCGATCAAGACAGAAACATGCATCCGCAAATCGTAGCACATTCCTATACTCAGATGCAAGAGACGTTTCGCCTTGAACCAATACGCAACCACTTGAAATCCCGGCTACGTCATCCACAGAAATGGGTTGGCCATAGAAATCCAGAGCAGCGCACGGTCAAGTGCTATCTGAATACCACTGGCAAAGAAGATTTGGCGAGCAACATATGCAAACATAGCCATTCCAGATACCACGAATAATATAAGGAAAAGAAATCATCCATGAGGTAATAGTGCACATCCATGAATATCCGGAATGTCATAGTTGTCGGAATATGTAAATACATACACATCCATTCACCTTGGACACATGAAATCATATCATGTCAAGGAAATGTTCCATCATAGCTAAGTTGATGTGACGCAAGCGATGGATGGGGACTAGCCCACATCATGCTGCTATCAACATCGGAGTGAATTTCATGTATTGCTGCTGATGAATGCACCACGCCGCCAAAAAAAACAGTGATTGTCCACACCTGCATCACGCATATCTGTCCCCAATGGACAGCCTATTGGTGCGCCGACGGAACTCTTCGTCCAAATTCTTTTGGGCTTCTCGCGCCCTGACGCATTTCCTGCGGTGGTCCTCTAATAGCCAATGTCCCGTTCGGAGACACCAATCTAGCAGGGGTGCGTCGCATTTGTTCCAGTCAATGGCCGCAATAATGGCGCTCACGTTGACCGAATAACCATATCTGCCAAGGTTCAAGCCTTCCCTTACGAATGATATATATTTGCAGTTGAAAGCCAGGGAGAAGCATCTGTAAACAATATCACCCACCGGGTGTATGCGATCCTTGACCAGGAGCTTCATTTCGTCTTTGGTGATGTCGAGGATCTTCGCTGCAATGCACAGCTTGTAGAATATGTTTTGCCCCTCGCATTTGTACACCAAGTAACGGCCCTGCAAATAGCCGTGCGCTTTCCGGACGACGGAGGGGCCGACGAGGTGGTGGCCGCCATAGGAGAGCAGATCCTGGGCCCCACGGACGTCTCGCTGTCAAACTGGACGGTTCGCCCCAGCAGCAGCGTGGTCCTGGCCACGCACAGTAGCGTCTCCCCGGTGTCAGGGTGTAGGCGCGCACGATGTTCCAGGCGAAGGCGCTCAGGGTCATGGCGTAGCCCTCCAGCTGGAAGCCTCCCACCGTGAAGGAGCGCACCTCCAGCAGCACTTCGCCCAGGGTGGCTAGCGTGACGTCGTCGGCCCCTCCGTCAAGGAACTCGTGCTTCAGCAGCAGGGCTGAGGCCGTCGTGTCTGCCTTGACCTCGTCGTGTTGCCTGCCTCCAGGGTTGCATCCAGGATCTGGAGGCCGTAGACGTCCACCCAGGTGTCTGGTTAGGCAGGCCCGGCGCCTGGAAGTGCGCCCCAAAGCGAAGCCCCGCAACTCCGTTCGGAGGCACTGTGAAGTACATCTTGGCCGTGCTCCAGGCGCCCTGGTCACCCACGAAGCTGCCGCACAGGGGGTCGTAGACGTTGTCAGCCTCGGACATGCACACCACGAAGTTGGAGGCCGTGCCGAGCCGGTACCGGCAGGCGAAGAGGAGCTCTCGGCCTGGCGTCAAGTTGTAGGTGCGCACGATGTTCCAGGGGTTCACCGCCAGGGTCTAGGGTGTAGCCGTCCACGCTCGCTGCGCCCGCGGTCCGGCTGGGCACGGCCTCCAACTTGGTGATGTACGTCAGCGCGGCCGACAACAACTACGTGGGCGTCACAAGCACCTTCCTCGGCACGGCCGCGCAGGGAGTCTGGAGCACGGCGCGCCTGGACTTCTTGGTGCCACCGGGCGGAGTCGCAAAGCTGCACTTCGGAGCCTTCGGAGGCTCGATCCCCGGGCTGGTGCAGCAGTCGGTACTGCACGCTGGACCTGTACAGCATGCAGATCAGGGCCTCGGCCTTCAAGGGAGAGTCGGTCTCCGTGACGGATCTGCTGGCCGACTCGCTGGCCCTCACGGGCTCGGCCACGCTGGACGGGCTCACCGCGCAGGGCAACGTGGGCTGCGACCAGCTGCTGCGCAACGACGTGAACTGCACGGACGTGTTCACAACGGGCGTGGACGCCTCGGGCGCAGTCTCCTGCGCAGCGCTCACAGCCACCGGCACCGTCGCCGGAGCCCCTGTCGTCCACCGGCGCCGTGTCGGGCAGCTCGCTGAGCATCACCGGCGCGGCCAGCGTGGGCCTGCTGAGCTCGGCCGCCGGAGTCACCGGCAGCACACTCACCATCAACAACACGGCCAACGCCGGGAACTTCACCACGGTGGGCAACGTGTCCACGGGCACGCTGACGGCCTCGGGCGCAGCAACCGCGGCGAGCTTCGCAGCCACTGGGCGGTCACGGGCGCCACGCTGACGATCACCGGGGCGGCGTCTGTTGGCCCGCTGGACTGCGAGAGCCTGGACTGCACCTTCACGGCCACGAGCGGCGGAGTGTCGACGGGCAGCGTGGTGTGCGGCGACGTAATCGACGCAGCTGTCCTTGACCACGAACCAGAGGAACCCCGGCTGCCTCGTAATCGCGGGCAACACGGGCAACGTGGTCTGCAACACGAGCTTCACGGACTTGTCGGACAGCCGGGTGAAGACGGAGATTGCCGAGGCCGACGTGGCAGAGCTCAAGCAGCTCTTCGACTTCGCAGGAACGAAGTGGAAGAATTTGACGGGGACCACGCGGTGGAGCGACGGCACCGAGATGATCACGCTCGACTACTCGCACCTCACCAGCGTGCTCTGGGGGGTGCGCAAGGGGCTCCAGGCCCGGCTGGACGAGGTAGAAGCCTGGCAGGCCCAGCAAAACCGAAAAAGCCATAAGAAACATGGCCGACGCGCGCAGACGAACCACCAAGGCCGTCTACGAGGATCCCCGCACAGGCTTCGGCAGCATAGCGCAGACGCTGCGGCAGGCTCAGGCGGCCCAGCATCTCCAGACGTCTCCGGGTGAACCAGCAGAGAGGCGGAGCCCATGAACCAGCTGTAGGTGGACCTGGCTGACATGAAGGCCTTCGAGAGCAAGCCCTACCCCTTCATGCTGGTGGCCATCGATGCGCTGACCAAAAAAGTGGCCGCGGAGCCGCTGAAGGACCGTCTTGCGACCACCACCGCGGCGGGCATGAAGAAGGTGTTCCAAGCCCTGGGAGTGCCGGCCAACGTGTACTCCGACGACGGCTCCGAGTTCAAGAGGGAGTTCAAGGAGCTGATGGATTTCTAGGACATCGAGAAGCAGGTGACCAGGGGCCACGCCTACTTCGCAGAGCGCACCATCCGCACCATCAAGGAGGCCATGTTGCGTCGCATAGCAGCCGGAGCGGGCCGGCGGGGCCAGTGGCACCTCATGCTGCCTGACATCTTGAGCCAAATCAACGGAAGGAAGCACGCTACCACGCAGGTGGCGCCGAACCTCGCCTACTCTGACCCCGAAATGGCGGAGATTGCTCTGCGCAACATCGAGCGCAGGGCCAAACACAAGGCGACCCGCCCAAGGTCGGGGATATGGTTAGGATCAGGGTTAAGCCGATCGAAAGCAGGGGCTGGGTAGCCGCGGGGAGATGGGGGCGAGGTTTGGCTTGGAGGGGTGGCCGGAAAAGGTGGTGCACAGGGATCTCCGCGAGGCCGCTTGGTGGGAGGCTGCTGGGCCATCAGAGCGGCCGCAAGGCAGGGAGCGTCCTCGTCCGTCCACGCTGCACGCATCGGAAAGGCTTGGAGGAAGTCATGATAGCTTAAAGCGGCTGCGCGGGTTTTTCTGAGTCCATTCGAGCATTTGGGACCATTCGAGCATTTGGCGGGCTTTTTTTTCTTTAGCGCGTGTCCAAATCCTCAAGCTCATCAACGCGCTCGCTCGCGAAGATCTTTGTTCTCTTCCTCGAGGATCTCGATGCGGCGCTCCAGCTCCTCGCGGCGCAAAGTTTCACAGGCGACATCCTCCTCAAGCAGATCAGCGCGCTCCTCCGCCATCTCCGCTCGCGCACGCTCTTCCTCGATAATCTCGTTGCGGTGGTCCAGCTGCCAGCGGAGAATTATCTTGTCGCGCTCCCGCTCCTCACAGCGCATATTTTCACCAAGGATCTCCTCATAGAGGTGCTCGATGAGACGCAGGTGGTACAGACGCTCGGCCTCGAGCAGTGCGTCCTTGCGAGGCCGCATGGGAGGCTGTTGGGCCATCAGAGCGGCCGCAAGGCTGGGAACGTCCTCGTCCGCCCACGCAGCGGGCTTCTGCCATGCCTGCACGCGAGGAAGTCATGATAGCTTAAAGCGACTGCGCGGGTTTTTTTGAGTCCATTCAAGCGTTTGGGGCCATTCGAGCATTCGGCGGGCTTTTTTTTCTTTAGCGCGTCCTCAAGCTCATCAACGCGCTCGCTCGCGAAGATCTTCTTCCTCGAGGATCTCGACGCGGCGCTCCAGCCGCCAGCGGAGAATTACGACGCTGCGCTCCAGCTCCCCAACCACGCTCCTTAGCCAGCGTCGCTCGCTCACGCTCTTTGTCAAAGAGCTCGTTGAAGCGGTCCAGCCGCCAGCGGAGAAGTCTGTTGTCGCGCTCCCGCTCCTCGCGGCGCATAGTTTCGCCGAAGAGCTCGAGCAGTGCGTCCTCGCGAGGTCGCATGGGAGGCCGCTGGGCCATCAGAGCGGCCGCAAGGCTGGGAGCGTCCTCGCCCACCCACGCGGCGGGTTTCTCTAGAAGCCATGCCTGCACGCATTGGAAGGCCATCGAGGAAGTCATCTTGAGCAGCTGCGGCGGATCGAATAAGTATTATCGAGAAAGCGAGAAGGCGAGAAAGCGAGAAAACGAGAGCTCGGGATCTTTTTTTCGGTTCCGACAGTCTACGCCGAACTCCATCACGAGGTCGAAGGGCGCGGAGCCGGGCGGCGCGTGAGCGCCCAGCGTCCGCAGCTGCTCCAGGTTGCGCCAGTGTCCCAGCGGGCGCGAGTTGCAAGCGTCGAGGCAGTAGACCTACCTTGTCGTTGAAGAGCGAGAGGGACTTCTTCTCGACGGTCTCCACGGCGATCTTGTGCGGCTGCGCAGCTGCACGAAGGCCGCCCTGCGCTCGCAGAGCACGCTTCTTTGCAGAGCACTCTCCTTTGCAGAGCACTCTCCTTTGCAGAGCACTCTCCTTTGCGGGGTTGGAGACGAGTCAGCTTTGGAGTTGTGTGTGATGATGTCGTCTTCTTTTGGGGGGGCGAGTCAGCTTGCGGGGGTGTGTGAAGGGGAATCCAGAGGAGTGCAACAGGACGGGCGAAGTCAAATATTCTCTGTTAGCGAAGACACACCACTAGAGAAATAAGTGAGACAGAGCTAGCATGCAGAGACTGCTCTCCCGCCGAAATCCGTCCGAAACTTCTTGATCCCAAAATTGCACAAACACTGCTGCCACGCAACAAATGTCTTGCGCGCAACGCCTGGCTGCGGAAAGGCTGCGGTGAAGTGCGCGCAAAACCTGTGCCAAGCTTCTTTGCCGCTGCGAACCGCAGAATACTATTGGTGAACACTCCATGCTCCTACAAGCAGGGTACGCAATGTGACCCTAATTCTGGGGTCACGGACACGGCCAATTTTCAGCCATGGAAGCATCAACTACGCGCAGACCGCCTTGGAAGCCAGCTAGGGACCTGACGTCGGGCTCTCAGCGATTCTGCCACCCGCTCTCCCACCCGGAGTGAATGCCAGCCGGAGCGCCAAGCAGGCAGACAAGACCATGGCGCCACGGGAAAACCCTGTCTTTGTCTCTTGGCTGGCTGCTGCTGCGGGTTGTGACTGCTCTGCGACTGCACCACCGCTCGATGCAACTTCACACTATTGCCGTTATAGTACTGGCTAACGGTCGGGTTGTCGAACTGCCGGGCAGCAGTGGGAACCACGCGGAAGGCCAACACCTCTTTGCCGTCAACCATCTTGCGCAAGATCCGAAACTTGCTGTCCGGAAACGGCGCATCCTTGCGTAGAGATTGCTCTCGCTTGATAGCCTGGCAATTGGCGATCATGAGGAAAACGTCCGACGCTTCCCAGAACTTGCTGTCGTGGCCCGCCCATGCGTCCAGCGCCGCTCCCAGCAACGAGTAGCCAATCCCCAACAGCTTGGACTGGCTTGACAGCACCTCCTCCTCCACACGCTTTCCACGAAACTTCAAGAGGACCGGATTCTTGGTGACGGGAGTGGTTTTCTGGAGGCTGCAAATAAAATCACGCCATGACGTGCCTTGCTTGGTGGTTTGGTGCTGAAGGGTCTGCTGAAACTCTGCAGGCGCGCAGTTCGAAAGAACGAGGACTTGCTCTGCACAGTACTGCGGCAGCCCCTCGTTGAAGTCGTACACAATGCTGACGAGAGCTCGAATCCACGGAGACATATTGAAGGACAAATCGCCCGATCCACCCAAAATTGCTTCCTGTTGCTCCTTGGAGAGTTCTATGAGCTCATCTCTGGTGGGGAGATGCTTGTCGCTCGACCACTCCAAACCGGAGCTCGCCAGGTCGTTGACTGCCTCGTTGTCTGTCGGCTCCTGCTCCTGCTCCACCTGCGGCTGCTGCTCTTGCGGGGCGGGATGCGTGTGAGTGACTCCGCCGTCGTCCTGTGACCTGACGTGACTCTGGCTCTCGAAGTGCTGAAACACTGCCGCCAGCGACTGAAGCCGAAGAGCTTCTCTTGCTTGCGGCGCCATACGCATGTCAGAGCATCGTAGGCCTGCGGCTTGACCAGCCCCTGGCCCACCAGGCACTGCACCTGCAGATCGCTGTACTCCGTCTTGTCCTTGCCCTTCTGATTCGTGTAGAGCTCCATCACCTTACGCGCCACTGTGTCCACGCGAGCCAGGCGCTCCTCACGAGCAATGAAAAATAGTCACCCCCGCTCGAAACGCTATTTGCAACACACAAGATTACAAACCCGGCCGGCCTCACTAAGGCGCAACACCTGCATCTCAACCGCCAGGTCTCCGTCTATCGGCCCGCGTGGATCCTCCTTCCAACCTTGGTTCCAACCCCAACATCGCGTAGCCAGCAGCCAATGCTCGTCTGCGCGGGATGCTTGTTCCCGCTGTGGATTATGTGGCCGTCAAATGGCAGCACACGCAGACGCAGGCCGCCATCGCCGGCGCGCTGCTGGCCTACCGGACGGGCCCGGACCAGGACGTCTTCACAACCAACCAAATCACCTCGCACGTTCAGCCGCAGACCAGGACATGGCAACGGCCTCGAGCATTGCAGCCGCGCTGCTCAGCTACTACACCATCGCACAAGTAGACGGCCTCCTTGCCGGCAAGCTCGGAGTCGCGGAGGCGGCCTTGGCGCTGCAAATAGCAGCGCGCTTTCCGGACGACGGAGGGGCCGACGAGGTGGTGGCCGCCATAGGAGAGCAGATCCTGGGCCCCACGGACGTCTCGCTGTCAAACTGGACGGTTCGCCCCAGCAGCGGCGCGCATCGACAAGAAGCAAAAGGCAGCTTCCGGATTCGCAAGTCCCGCCGATTCTGCCTGTCACCACTACTGCTGACAACGTTTCATTTGGCACCGGGGCACGGGAGAAACATTGCGAAACACATCTGACACAAACCAATGCAGCTGAGCCGGAACGCAAATACATGCTGCAAGCTCAGCTTACAACTCAACTTGAAACGACCGCAAATCCCACAAATCATGAGAAGCAGTGAGTTACAAGTTTTGACTGCGAAGGTTGCTTCACTTCATTAGAACATTCACTGGGCGTTAGCCAGGACCAAGGCTGGTCAGTCTCAGGCGACCGACTCCACTTCAGAACAAGCTGCCAGATCCCGGCCTTTGGCCTGGATTGCCAACTAGCCACGCCCAGACGCCGGCAGCTGCCGCACTTCTCCGCCCCGCTGGTGCGTTCTGCTTCGGCCTTGCGCCAAGCCTGACCTTGCGCTCCATGAGCTCAACCTCAGCCTGTCCAGCTCTTCCCACTCTTGATCAGCGCCGCCTGTCTCTCCGTGTTTACCGCCAGGTCAGTTACTTGAGCATAGGGCGTCAGAGCGAGGGCCAGCTGTCCTGCTGTGACGCGCGTGCCGTCAGTCACCTCTCCGTTGTCCAGGACCTCCGGGATGTTGCCCGTGACAGGTCCTTCAAACATGTTTTCTTAGGAGTAGTCGTTACACGAATTCGTAACAATGGGGTGTTGTACTTTCGCAACGCGCCCTCACTTGAGTCGCTATGGGTCATTCGGGGCCTTCGTAGCGCAGGGTGGTATAATTATATATCACTCGCAACAGCCCCTACCAGTACGCGAAGTGTGGAATGACTGGGCATGAAGCGAGACCTCTGATGAATTGGCCGATGGCGTCGGTCAAAACGCTTGGGACACCTCGGCCACATGACGAGACCGGCGAAGGACACTTGTCTCAGCGGCTATGATTTGCGGGGCATTCATGAGCCAACCTTGCCCATTCATGAACCAACCTTGCCCATTCATGAACCAACCTTGCCCATTCATGAGCCATTGATGAATCACCCGGTTCCATTATTGACTCAAACTTGCCAAGAACCGAGTCCTTTCGGGAACTGGGGCGCTTTTGCGCACTTTTCGGCCCCAAAGAGAGCGGTGACAAAGCGGTGACATCGCGGTGAGAGCGTTTTTGGGCCAAAAAGCACCGTTTTGGGACGGTAACACTCTCTCTTTAGAGCAAATGGTTTATATTCTACCTGAGAGGCTCCCAGCACTCGTCCGTCCAGCATTTGACCTCGTCCTGCGAAGGATTCGAAGTCTAAAGCGCTGCGTGGAGGCGTGTGGCTGCAAAATAGAGACCCCTAGATATGCTTGCAATTTGGCTCCAGGTTGCATTTCAAGCGAGCCAACCTTTGCAGGGCTAAGAAAAACAAAAAAAAAAGAAAACAAGGGGTCCCAAAAAAAGGGGTCCCCGAAAAAAAAGGGAAAAGGGGTTTCCTTTGGCAAAGGTTGACATCGCTTGAAATGCAACCTGGAGCCAAATTGCAGCGCATATCTAGGGGTCTCTATTTTGCAGCCACACGCCTCCACGCAGCGTTTTAGACTTCGAATCCTTCGCAGGACGAGGTCAAATGCTGGACGGACGAGTGCTGGGAGCCTCTCAGGTAGAATATAAACCATTTGGGAAACCCCCTCTAAAGAGAGAGATTTGGAGCGTAGCGCGTGTTAGTTTCTGACACATGCTTGGGTACAAATCCAGTCCGGCAGGCCCGGCTGTGGCCCGGCAGTGGCTCGTGGCCCCTACATGAGTCCTACATAAGTCCTACATGAGTCCTACATGAGTCCTACATGAGCCGCGCCACCTGCCTGGCACCTCCCGGCCGCGCACCTGCCCGGCATCGGAGCCTACTTCAACATGTCACATTGACATGTTCAGGCTTGGCACTCCGGGTGCGCCGCCCTGCCGCGCCACCTGCCCGGCATTGAAGCCGCGCCAAGCCGCTGAACCCCCACAGTGTCCGGGCTCCTTGCTATATGTGCTATATGTGCTATATCTTACACGCCAAGCCGCGGAACCTCCACTCTCCCCCGGGTCCTTGCTATATGTGCTATATGTGCTATATCTTACACGCCGAGCCGCTGAACCCCCACTCTCCCCCAGCTCCTTGCTATATGTACTATATGTGCTATACACTCTGTACGCGCGAAATCTGTGGTATATGTGCTATATAGGGCCATATAGCACATATAGCACATATAGCAAGGAACCCGGGGAGAGTGGATGTTCAGTGGCTTGCCTTGTGAGATATAGCACATATAGCACGTATAGCAAGGACCCGGGGGACTGTGAGGGTTCGGCGGGTTGCCGCGCCTGGCATAGCCTCCCCGGCGCGCCACCTGCCGGCAGAGCCACGCCAGCCCGCCGACGTGGCTTCGATGCCGAGTCCGTGATTGCTGTCTCTGTCTTGCCCAGCTTGCCACTGTTTTCCTTAGCGCGCCTGGCCGTTTTTTGGTCGGACGTGTTGTGGAAAAAAGGAAGTTTTTTTTCGCTCGCGGCTGGATGTTGATTGTCATGAGTTCGCCATGGATGTGTTTTGAGTTGTTCCGGGGATTTTGCATGAATTGTCACTTGATTTTTTATTGTTTCAGCGGCGTGTCACTTGCTATTTCAACGCAGCCGTTTGTGCTGCGAAGCTTCTTCTTGACTGCTCGTATCAGGGTCGGGCTCGGGTTGGCGGGGGTCTCAGTCTCGCCGTCTCATTTGGAATCTTTCTCTGCAGCACACCAGGTCATGAGTCGGCATGATCAAGGGCATTGGTCGTGGTCAGGCGTGGTTGTTTTTTTGCTTGAGGCTGAAGGCGTGTCAAGACGTGGGTTTGCGATTGCAGGAAACAAGTATCGCTCGGCGTCCGGAGCTCTGAACCAGCTGAAGAAGAAAACCCAGAAGGCAAAAAAAAACACAAGCAGGAGAAGGAGGAGAGTGAGAAAGTTTTGCACAGCTTCGCAGCTGCCAACGCCCTTCTGAAGCAGAGGGAAACCGAGCTGCTGAGCGAGAACTCGCAACTCAAGGCGCTCTGCTAGCCACGGATCTTTTTTTTTTCAATGCGCCTTGTCAGGTTCAAGCGGCGCAGCTCCAGGTGCGCATGTTTGTTGCAGTACCAACCCCTTTTTTTCCCCTCTTTCCGTTTTTTGGGGGTTCTCTGGAGGACACTGTGCAGCATCTGAAAGAGACGAATGCAAAGGACGCTCAAACGTCCCAGGCTGTTGGCTTGAAGTGTTACTGTTCTTTCTTACGAGCTTTTGTCGTTTGCAGGCTCGGCGTCAAGAGTATTCCGCCAAGATTGCACTGATGACCGCAAAACTCCAGGCCCTCTCATCACCGTCAAGTGTTGTGTTCTTGTGTTTCACGCAGGACACAGATGGTAAATTGGACCTCTCCACCGAGCTCGCTCGGGAGCGCAAGGCGCAGATCGCTGATTTGCAAAGGCAGAACAAGGCCCGGGCTTCGGATTGCCTGTTAATTTCGCAACTGACGTTTTTTTTCAGGACTTGGAGAAAAAACTGAAAGGTGCCCAACAGCGGGCTGCGCTGCTTGCATGTTTTTGACGTTCAAACGGCATAATTGCACGCTCCTGTTGCAAGGCTCGTGCCGAATTGCAGATCGTTGGCATGGAGGAGCCCAAACGGCGTTCCAAGAAGGCCAAGGTGGGCATTTGTTTTCCTCTTTGTTGCACTTGCCCATTCTCAAGCTGCGCAGGCTGAGTAGTCGCGCGCCAACAGATGCTGTTGCCCTTGCAAAAAAACATGACGTGTCTTCGAGACGGGTTTGGCATGCTTGTGCGTTTGACGGATTGTGCGTTGACATGTTGGAGTTGTTGTTGACATCGGCAGACTTGCAGGCTCCGTCGCAGGAGCGGCTCCGTCACAGGAGCGAGGAACGGCTCCGTCACAGGAGCGGCTCCGTCATAGGAGCAGTTGCAGGCTCCGTCACAGGAGCGGCTCCGTCACAGGAGCAGTTGCAGGCTCCGTCACAGGAGCGAGGAACGGCTCCGTCACAGGAGCAGTTGCAGGCTCCGTCACAGGAGCAGTTGCACGGTGCTGACTTGAACGTGAGCGCATCCGCCGTGGCTCTCCCAACGGCCCCTCAGTACTGGCTCGCCCAACCTCGTTTGATGGCTCGCCCAATACGGGTTCGCCCAATGAGTACGGGCTCGCCCAACGGCCCCTTAGTACTGGCTCGCCCAACCTCGTTTGGCTCGCCCAATGAGTACGGGCTCGCCCAATGAGTACTGGCTCGCCCAACCTCGTTTGATGGCTCGCCCAATGAGTACGGGTTGGTCAGCGGCAAGTCCGCGAGTGCGCAAGACGTTCGTGTCGTACTGGAAGTATACCAGGAATTGAAGGATAATGTCAAGAGACGGCAAGGTGACGTCCCGTGGGACGCTATGCACCGAACCCTCAAGCTGTAATACCAACCACGTAGAAAGGTGTATACGGACGATGCCGTTACAGCCGAACCCGTGTAAACGTTGTAAGGGAGAAGGAATGATAGTTACAACAGTAGTCCTGACAAATGCAGCGCAAGCGAAGTGTTTTCGCTCTCAATGCCGATCACGTATGTATGCAGTCACACATCAGATCTTGAACCTCAATTGTGTCTTGAGCCAAATGGCGATCAATGGAACTTGGGAAGCAACACCAACAAGGACCTCAGAACAGCTACCCAATTTCGGCACGGGGCCTAGAGGGTTTTAACATCCCCCATTTGGGTCGCATTGTTCATCATGCGGTCCAAACACCACAAAACGTTCCACTGGCCACGGCTTCAACTACGAAATCGTGTCGTGCATTCTTTTACTTGCTATCACTACACCGTTCATTCGCTGTGAAACATGCCGGGTTCGATTGTACGAAAAGTGAAACATTCATCCCATATGCAGGTGTATATAATACACTATTGTCACGTCACTTGACCGCCAGTGAACATTCCAGCTGCCGCATTTGCGCATCGCGCAGCTGTCATCCATAAATGGGTTGGCCGCAAAAGTCCACCAGAGGCGCCCGCTTGTAATCGGTCTGCATATTTCCGGCAAAGAAACATCGGTGAGTAATCAATGCAAATCATAGCCATTCCAGATACCATGGACAATGCATAAATAATTAAAAGATATCATCTATAAGGTAATAGTTCCATCCATGAATATCCAGAGCGTCATAGTCATCGGAATATGTAACCATGTACACATCCATTCATCTTGGACACATGAATATAAATCATGACATAAGTCGTTCCACCGAAACAGTGTCGATGTGACGCAAGTAACAGATGGGGACTGGCCCATATCGTACCGCAATCATCATCTTCACGAAGCATACCTGTCCCCAATGGACAGCCTATGGGTACGTCGGCGGAACTCCTCGTCCAAGTTCTTCTGGGCTTCTCGTGCCCGGACACACTTCTTGTTGTAGTCATCTGGCAACCAGTGCCCTTTCCGAAGGCACCAATCCAGCAGGGGTGTGTCACATTTGTTCGGGTCGATGGCCGAGATGATGGCGCTCACGTTGACCGTGTAACCATTCTTGCCAAGGTTCAGGCCATCCCTCACGAATGATATATACTTACAGTTGAAAGCTAGTGCAAAGCATCTGAAAATAATAACACCCACCGGGTGCACTCGGTCCTTGACCAGGAGCTTCATTTCTTCCTTGGTGACATCGAGGATTCTCGCTGCAATCCACAGCTTGTAGAATGTGTAAAGTCCCTCGCATTTGCACACCATCATACGAATATAATCTTCACGCTCCTCAACCGATCGGAAGGATCTCGACCGAACATTCTCCGACTGAGAAATTTTCTTCGCTGTTGATGGTAAGAGTATACCTTCCTGATCCTGATCGGTGATGTTGGGGTACCTCTTGAAGTCATTGTGATAAGGGCAGCCCGGCCTCCCTTCGAGTCCGGCATTCATCGTTCTCTCCTCACCACCTTCAAACATCCCCCACATCTTGGACAGCTGGAGTGCGATAAATCCTGCCATGTACTGAGCCTCACGCGGCTCGTCAAGGCAGATCGCCATCCGTTGGGAACTTATAATGTCCCGTGACGTCAGATCGGTGTCGCGGTAATGCCAACCGCCGTCTTCTTCTTCTGACGCATAGCCGGATGTATATCCTTGCGTGTCCATGTCGTCATCTTCTCCCGGAACTTCCTCCGCTTCGTCTTCATCCTCCTGTGCTGCCGCATCGTGGTTAGCTTCTTCCTGTGCACGCCTGGCATCTCCAGAGACGTTGGGGTTTTGGTTGTCCTCCTCGTCATCGGATTTGATGTGAATGTAGTATCTTCCGATGGAGATCAGTTGTGCCTCGCACTCCAGGCATAAGCAGAAGCAGGTGGGGATCGCGGTCGCACATGATGGACATATCCGGCACCTCAGTCCTTCCCATGTCTCGTCATTCAGGATGACGACTTTGCTGATTTCGTCCCGGACCTCGTTGACCTGTGCATTGAACTCTTCCATCTTGTTGATTCGATAGAGTTCGCAGGCACGATTAACCATGTCAACGATGTAGTGCAGATTATCGGCACCTGTCTCAGTCTCCGGCATCCTCTCGCTGATCTTTGCGACGTTCTGGAGGAACATCGCAGCCGACTCTTGGGATGAGTTGACGAAGCCAGGGCAGATCTCGTTCTCCACACACTTCGAGTACGCCTCTTGAGTCAGCGTACTCCAGGCGCTTCCCTCCGTTGCTTTTGCCAATCCAAATGGACTTGACCTCATAGAACGGGATCACGTCAAAGACCATGAAAGTCCCATTAGCCGCGACTCCAGCTCCATACCGCGCGAGGGTTGCACTGGGAATGTAGATGATCGCAATCGGATCCCCTCTCCTCACGTTCCGCAGCGTCGTCTTCGTCGCCACGTTCATCTCATCCCATGGAGCAAACGCTCCGAAGTGCAGCGCTAGCCTGTTCCCGCCATCGATTCCGCCGGGGACTAACCCACAGCGTACGATGCTTGGCAGGTTTTCCACATACGTCACATGGAATGCTCCTCCGAGAGTATCACCCATTCTTGCGGAATACCTATTCGCCAGTGCGGATGAGCTCATGAATCCAAAATCACTGTGACCGGTTGTGACTCGGATGCACCAAGGTCTGTACCATCCATCGCATCTGTTGAACATCCTGTCGATGTCGTCCCGATCCATGCCAGCTTTGGTCATTTCCTCCCTGGCCGCCCTCGTGTCGTTCGGGTTCATGATGCTCGGAAACCTTGCTGCCAGAACCTGAAATCTCGATTTCCTGTGTCCAGATTCCTGCCACTTGATCACCTCCATGATACCCATGTATCGTTTCGCTCTCGAGGTGTTAGGCGGGAATATGTCGTTGTTTCGGTCGTCAATGACTGCATCAATGTCGACCCAACCACCTTCGTCGCACCTGAAAGCACTTCCTCGGCAATTGCCGATTTTGTGTCGAAGGACTCTGCATAGGTCGTGAGATAGCTGGTTTGCTTGGTCCCTTGTAGTAAATACCGAGCGATCATCACCAATCCTGCATAGTGGAGCACCGTCGAAAGGAGCAATGCAGAAGTTGACACTCTTGCCAAGTTGCATCACGTCCACTTGCTCAAGGATTGCACCTTTGGGAAAGTATTTGGGGTCAACGATGGACGCATACGCCCATGGCAAGTGCACATCACTCACATCGCCATACTTCGGGATGTAGCACGGGATGGTGTCGCATCCCATCTCAAGCGTCTTCTTGAATGTCCTGCTGTCCCCGCACGGGTTGTAGGTGAGGTCGACGCCACCACATTGTAGCTCTCCTCCCTCAGCCGTGTCAGCCATCTCCACCAAATTAATAGTGTAGCTGTACATCTCAATTGTTTCTTTCCCTGCTTGTCCCCCTTTCTTTCTTTCCTTGGACGTTGATGAGGACGGTTCCTCCGTATCCCCCATGTCTTCATCAGATGAAACAGGGTCACTGCTGAGTAGCTCACGGAGCACCTTCATCGCCTTCTCATTTCCAGCAGCCTCCTCAATGTCCTTGCAGTCGCCGTCGTGGGCCAGGTTCGCGCACTTCTTACAGATCCCCATATCTCCCATGCACTTCTCCATTGACTCCAGGAATCCTAGTGCCGCTCTCCGCCCGTCGATCACTCGCTGCTTCTTGTCTTCCTTCTCAGTATTGGTTTGAGAACTTCGACTCGGGTCTGGTGCTTGACCAAGACCCTCATCTTCGCCCTCCGTGGCCTTTCTCTTGGAACCTTGTGCAGAGGGCTCGGTGATCAGGGATCGTGGATGTCTGGGCTTGACCTTGTTCATGATGTCAAGTACCTCCTTCGTGGGCACGCCGAGCTGTGCGGACGGTCTGTTCCGCTTTCTGTTCTGGCCCGTCGTGCGGGTCACGTTCCCAGCGAGGTGCCGCACTATTGACTGCTCGAACTCCCTCTTGATCTTCCATGCATCCTTCCACAGTGGCAGTTCGTGCTGGAAGTACGACATCACCTCAAAGAATCCCAACACCATCTCGACGACGTCTCCCAAGGATTCCTCGTTCGTGGTTTGTCCCAGGAGTTCATACATCGTTCCTTGGTCGAGCACACTCTTGATCCAGGACGAATATGCCACATTGCCAAGATCCTTGCCTATCACGAAGATGGACATCCTCTCCTCGACTCCCTCGGAATTCTTGCACACGATCACATCCCGGGATGCGCACAATTGCTTCCCGTGACCGTTGCTGTAGAACTGCGCTGCTTGATCCACAGTCATGCTCACGAATCCC